GAGTACTCGAGACATATGCCATGGAGTGAGACTCCCCATTCTTCTGGTGACCTTGGATGTAAAGAACGCTTTTAACTCAGCCATATGGAGCGACATGTTTTACGCTCTGAAATAGACATTTAGAACAGCAGACTATCTCTTGAAAGTATAAAGAGACTATCACAAGGACCGTTTTTTGACCTATACGACAACAGAAGGCGAAACGGAAAAGAAAATAATTGTAGGGGTATTTCACGGATCCATAGTTGGACCCGATCTCTGAAACGTGTCATACGACAGACTGCCCCACTATGAAATGCCAGAGGAGACGTTTTGGTAGGATACGCAGACGATGCTGCTGTAGTGATCGTGGAAAGTACGATGGAACTTATCCAGATAAGAACTAACCATGTTATCTTGAGAGTGGCTGCATAGATGGAAAACCACGGACTTAAAGTTGCAGCAGGAAGGATGGAGATGGTACTACTGACGAGAAAAGAAATAGATACCATTATTTCCCTTAAGGTACAAGAAGAAAAAGTAATGATGAAAAATACTGTAACATACTCACGGATGACGTTAGATAGAAAGCTTATGGTTTGGAGTCACCTTAGGCAAGCAGCAGACAAGGTGGCGGCAAGAGTAACGGTATTAAGCTGAGTCATGCTCAACGTTCGAGGTCCAATATCTGCAAAGCGCAGTCTTCTCTCGGCCACGGCCCAGTCTATTATTTTGTACGGGGCTGAGATGTGGGGAGATGAGATGAGTGTGGCAAAAAGAAAAGAGTGAGAATCATCTAAGTTTAAAGAATAGGAGCCTTGAGGATAGCCTGCGCCTATCACACAGTCTCGGAGTCTGCGATAATGGTGATAGCAGGCGTAGGCCCCATCGACCTTCATGCGAGGAAAAGATGATTAAAGCACCTTACGGGGCAGGACTTAGAAAGAATGGAGGCAAAAAAAAATGCCCGGGAAATTACTTTGGAACGCTGACAACATAGATGGACTAAGCAACTAAAAAGAGGAGAGCAGCTCGGATGCATGACGGGATCTCGAAAACACGCTAGATGACGAAATAGTTACAAGACGCGTTAGTAACGAAACACTGAAGAAAGCCTGCATTAGGGGTTAAGCCTCGGTGGCCCCAGCTTGAAGTTTTAATGGGAAAGCAGATTCCGAGCCGGGTGTCTCAAAGAAAAGGTCTTGCCAGCTTAGTAGGTATGGCTATAACAAGTCCCACACAGGGGAGGGTACGTTCACGCTTTTATCGTGCATAAAAGGATTCTGGAAGACCTTGAAAAAAAAAAAAAAAAATGTTGATGTCTATAATAATGATACTGTTGATAATAATGATGATGATGGTAATGAAAATGATGATGATAAGAATAATAATGATGATTATAATGGTGATGATAATAATAGTGGTCATAATAATAATTATTGTAATTTTACTATTTTTGATAATACTTATATTAAAAATGGTAATAGTAATAAAAATAATTATAACGATAATGATTGTAATATCAATAATAATAATCATGATACTAATAATAATAATAATTCCATAACTGATGCTAAAGCTGATGACGATAACGACACTGATCATAATATTTATAATAATAATTATAATAAT